ATTTTTTATTACGTAATGAATAATGTAAAATATTGAAATACTAAATAGCGCAACTGAATAGTGCATACTTTGGTGTTACATCTTTTTCTTTTCATATGTGAGTTTGTACATAGTTTATTACAAAAATAAAAGACGTAGCTTAAATGAATACAGAGTAGCTCAATCTTGTAAAATGAAATCCAATTTTGTGAAAATAATTTCGGCGTGTAAGTGAAAATTTAATTATCATGTGGTCCATTCATATGTTAAAAAACAAATAAATCAAACAGAGTCTACATAGTGTTAAATAATGTTCTTTACATTCAAATGTTGTAATAACACTTATCTTAAGTTTAAAAAAAATAGATACAACAACCTTATAGAAAGCGAAATAAATTTCTAAATAATGTTGTCAAAACATGTGTTAAAAAGTAAAAAAATATTAAAAGCTATATCATGAGCTTTTATCGCCTCTAAGCACTTACCATTTAGTCAGTATCATTTGATATGAACTGACATTAAAGATATGCAGAAGTTGCGATTTCTGTGCATTACTTTTTTATTGGGCGTAACAAAGTTTACCCATCAATTTATTACATATTTTGATATGTAAAATTTATTATTTACAATAATCTAAACTGCATCCGTTCATTCGCTCAATTTTTGTTTATATTTTGTTAATTGAAATTATAATTTAAATGTATGTCCGTACAAAAAAAAATATATATATATTTATTCTATGCGTGTGTACGCGCATGTGTCGATGCGCACCTGTGCATATTAATACTTTTTCTGAAAGAATTTTAAAGTTTTAACTACCTTATTTGTTCAATATTGGTCATTTGTTTTTATTGTAAGTTAATATAGATATTTATTTATAAACCTATTAAATATTTAATGTTTTGCTTTCTATCATATATTTATATCCAAATTAGAAATTTGAAGACCTACAAATATAATGATTATCAATAAAAATGTTTATAGAAATTATTATATGCATCGGATGCAGTTTAAATTAAAGTTTTGAGGTTATGACGTTTTTAATTTTAGTTTTCGTAAAGTAAATACACTTGAAGGATTAAATAGATGTACACTAAAAAATCATGTTTATTTTGTACGAGTTAGTACTGTATTAGTATTGTTAATATCATTATCAATCAAAACTGAATTCTGGACAAAATTAACCACGTTATTGAATGGATTTATCGTTTAAATATATAATTATAGTAACATAGATAAATAAAAAAATTACAATATTTTTAATTTTACCATTTGATAATTTACTCAGTTCTTTAAAAAATAAAAATATATAATTAATCATTAGTTTTAACTTAAAAAATTTACGGTATAGAAAAAGAAATATATAAAAACCTACTTCCCACCTGCCAACTTTTTCTACTTTTTGCATTCTTCGTGAATGATAAACAGTTTATTTATTAAAACCTCGCGAGCTTTTTCTACTTCTTATCAGATTTGATAATAAGAATTATTTGTACTTTTTATAAGTAATTTATTACCTAGCATTAATTCAGCAGTACGAAAATACATAAAAGAAAAGTAAAACTCGCTTTATCCAAAATTTTTCGTAATGCATTGAATTTTTTTATATGGTAATTACGAATGCATAGAAAAAACTGTCCTGATGTAAAATCATATAATCACAGAATTGTATACGTCTTCTTCTATATTAATTTTTTTTATTTTTGTAGTTATTTATTAAAAAAAAAATTTTAATTTAAATTTTGTAATAATAAAAGTTTTTACTCCGATCCGAACAATCATAAGATATCGGAAAACCATGCGCTTGCTGCCGTTTCTAAGTAATTTTAGTTCAAAATAGATAATCAAAAAATAGAAAAGATAATAAATAAAGAAATATATAAATAGTTGTTTCTAAACTATGAGTAAATTTTTAAAAAGTGTGGAAAATCTAACAATATGAATTGAACAATTCTACTTAGTAAAATAAAATATTTACCGAAAAAGTTCAAATTTACATTACATTATATTACAAGATGCGAAATAGTAGAAAGGTTTTCTTACATTATTTATATATAATCTATACTTGCTGATTACCAGGCAAAAGTTGAAAGCGTAAAAACTTTAAGACAAAAATACAGAATAATAAAAAAATTCATATAAAAAAAAAATCGAATGAATTTAGAAAGAATTTTAAATAGAATGGAAAGCAATTGTTAGCAATGTGGTCACAAATTTGTTGGCGATCTGCCTCTACTTCTCCGCGCACTGTATATATATATTAAAGAAATGGAAAAGGGCGGATATATAAATATACATATTATAGACAGTACTATAATGAGATTGAATTATATACTAACGATGAAATATGTTGAAAAGCGTCGATGCAATTGGTTTCCAACGGAACCTGATAAAAATATCGATATCGTCAGTATTAATCTGCATTCCGATTGTTTATGATACATCGTTAAGATTCTTATTGGAGAGAAAAATGTTATAAATGGCAGAGTAATGTTTTACTTGATGTTTAAGAATTCAAAGTCACCGTATGACATTAAAAAATTGCTGTAATAAGATATACTTGGAAAGGTTATTGGTATGAGATTGTACAATCTAACAAATTCTGCAGGTTGTTGAATTTTAGTGCTCTAAAATTGTATAAATTTTTTACACTATATTACGTTATAAAGTGGCAATTGTTTAAAGTCAGTCGACGATTTTAACTCTTTAATCATTTTACAAACGTAAGATTTATATAAAACATGCATAATAGCATAAAATTTTTAAATTATATAGATATAAATAATGCATAATAGGTCAATGTGTATGCATGGAAAACAGCGAAACATTTTTCGATTGGTGTCATTTTATTAATACACTGTCCTTAACTAACACACATGTTAAATAAAGAAATCCGGGTAAATTTATAATAATCTAATCAAATGATATGAACATTTTTTTGTATTTCATAATCATAAACATGAGGCGAGATTTTTAAAATATGGTTAATATTTAATAATAATGATAGAGTTATTTACACACTTTACGGTAGTAAGATATATTTTACATTTAAAAAATGTGTCATATAAAAGTATAATAAAAATAAACAGAACTATATTGAGTGTAAGATCACTACCGTAAACAAACATAAGCAAAAATGTACCGTTCAGTAAAATACAGGTACAAGATTTCAAATACTAAAAACACCATTAATTGTTATCATGTTCGTAAAATAATCTACCTTATTTCTATTTTACTTAAATGTAATTTTTTCCTCAATTTTAAATTCTATCAAATTTGATCTGCATTTATCACGATTTTGAAAAGGGTATGTTATTCAATGTAATACGCAAATAAGTGAATATCTAAAAAAAAATAATTAAAAATTGGTTTTTGATGAAATAAAAAACGAAATGAAATAAAAATGAAAATAAAGTAATATCTTAGATATAATGAGAAGATAACACAAAATTGAGTGTTTAAAATTATCGATACAAAAAAACCACAAAGTTTAAATATATGAGTAGAAATAAAACTATTAAATATGGGTGAAATCTGCGAAATTTGGTATTACTAGAAAATAATGCGTTTTATTGTACAAATTTCCTTTGTGGTACATTATTATATCCTTAAGATGCATTATAATATTTATTTTATAAGAATTAATTATACTGTAATAATAAAAACATTTCTAATTTACTTAATTATATTCATGGTCATATTAATAATTAATAGTAAATTCCTTTTTTAAATTAAATAATATTCTTATTTCTCACATTCGCTATCATATATAAGTTAATACATAAACCATTTAAATATAAAGTTTGTGAAACTTATCAAAAAATAGCATTACATGATAATATAGGCATAATCGTTGGCCATACAATGGAATTACACATATATAATATATTTATGTTAATATAAGGTTTAGGTGCATATACAACGATAAAAATAGTATTATCGTCAGTAGTCGTTCTCTAATAAATATTGAAAAAATTTTGTATCCCTACATTTTATAAAAAATTCTTCATAAAATTTTAAAAATATTTAAATATGCTATTTTAATTTATATACTTCCAATTACTGGAGTTTGAACAATCAACATAAAATTATGATTTTCAATTTTAAAATATTCTGTTTAATATATAATATACATAATAGGAGATAACAGCAAAAACAAGAAAATTGGAATCTAAATGCTGCAAATCTGGGATGAAAAACGAAGCGATTGAGTAGCATAAATAATAAAAGGAGAACGAAAGATAAAAAAATTTGTATCTATACGTGTAGATACAATTGCGATGAAAATCGGTTAACAATAACAATTATTAAGATTTAAAATAAAATTAATATATAAAAAAGCTATATGTAATATTAATTATAAGTTCACTCATCGCTATGATATTATACTTAAGAACCATATGATTTTTTAAATAAAATATTTGCTTTAAATATATTGGATGGGTTTTACAGTTTTTAATACCTAAAATATTTATATTGTCATAAAGAATATTGTTTAACTTTTCTAATTTATTGTTTACTATATAAGCCTATATTGAACAACAAAAAATACTGTAGTCATAATGGCGTTTCCTTTAATATGCAACAGCGTATAATTTAATTTTTGAAAATTTAAAAATCAGCAGCTATTTAAAAATATTCAATTTTATATTGAGCAAATAAAGTATAATTTACTTATCGATAACAGCTATATAACAAATAGATAGATGTTAATGAAATTTAATATATAAAATTTTAATATATTCATAGACATAAATAGTATGTTAGCATTATTTTTTTCTGTATAAAAAAATATAAAAAACTATAAAATTTGTAGCATATAGTTTGTATAGCATACAGGTAATATTTGGAATTTTAATTATTATATTGGTTTTTTCTTATTCGAATATAATTTATATACTTCATTTTTTTGTTTATTTATAATAAATATAAATTATATAATGGCTAATATAATAATTTTATTTTTGTAAATTTATTGTAAATATTTAATTTTTTATTTACATTTATTTTATTAATTTCAGGTGGATCAATTAAAAGAAATATTGGAGAGTCGTAAGTAAATTCTAAATTTTATGGCTTAGTATTGAAATAAATTAATGTACAAATCAATCCCGTAACTAATACATTGTAGATATTGTTGTTTTAGATTTGCTTTTTTATTCAAGTAGCCACACTTCATTTCTATATTTAAAGATTGCAATATTACATACGAATACACTTACATTTTTATGGCTAATACAAGTTATTACAGAAACAAAAATAGGGTAGAAAAAAATTCATTTAAAAAAAAACGTAGTTACGATTTTTTCGTATGACTGGCACCTTTTACAGAGACTTTGCGGAACCGGTGGAGAGCGTTAATCTACTTCGCTTCGTCAAACCAAAAACAGACGACGCCAGTCCGCGAAGGCAAGAAGCATTCACTTTTACTTAGCAAACGTTCAGTCTGCATTCTTTTAGAATTAGATAGCTTTGAAAAATATAACATTTTTTCACAAAATTTCATTCGTTGCGTTCGAGCTTAAAATTCATACCGTTTGTTCAATTGTTTTATAGAAAATTTTTTAATGGCTTCTGGAGATGAGCGATGAGCCAAATGATTTTCATTTCTTCTGCTTAATGGATGCATGTGATTTATTGATTAGCTTTGGTAATCTGGTGATATATTACGCTTTAAGTGGCAAACTATTTTCATTCTCTTTCTATATCTCTTATTATTAATTTCATTTTTTTAAATATTTGATACATAGACGTAAGCATTTATTTGCTACAAATAAATCCATTTTAATGTCATCGTTTGGGTTTATTAATATTTATCGCCACTGCATTTGAAACAATCTTTTCTTATTAAATAATAACGATACCCAATGAAATTGAAAAATAAAAGAATAATAATTATCTTTATCATATTGTATAACAAATTTTTAATTACATTTAATACTTTCTTTGCAAGGATTCACTATTAGTGCGCTATACAGCGACTCATGCTGTTCTTATCATTTCATTTCATTAAATTATCAAAAGAGATTTTATTAAAATTTCATTTTATAATATAAATAGTTGTAATAAACTGATGTCTTATTCTTAATAAGTAAATTGATGAGAGAGAATACATGGATAATTTGGGCATGTGTGTAATACAATTAAAGAAAAATACGAAATAACTAAAAACACATTTTTTAAGAAGCTAAAAACTAGTGAATATATTTAAACTGTTGTTAAATATATTTAATCTGTTGTTATCTGTTATAAATTATAATACAAAATCTTCATAGTTAAAGTTTTTATTATTAAAGGAACTAATGAATTTTTCTTCTTTCAAATAATTAATTATTAGAAAAGTCATTAGTTAATTTATTTTAAAATGTTTAGTTCATATAAAAAACTTTTTAAAGTTAGACTAAAATAATATATTTTATTATTAATTTAAAAGTTTTACACATAATTCAGTAAAAAACGTAGGGCTTTTTATAATATTATGTATACTGTTAAATATTTGAATTTAATGTTCCTTGTTTTAATTGTTAAATTTAATTTTATTAAATTTAATATTTTCATAAAATTTTCTAAAGAGAATGAGTTTTAAAAATTATTATATTTTTTATTTAAGGCAAAATTTTTAGTCAGAAACTGAAAAAAGTTATGTATATTGGCATTTAATGTAAACGTAGTAAAATTATAAAAATTATTCTAGAAAATACATAATTTCAAAGTGTTTTCAACTAATTAAAAAAAAAAAAAATAATTGCTAATCTGCATATTCAATTGTGGAAGAATGTATTTATATATATGTATATAGTATATTTATATATTTGTAAGTGTGTATTTCTAATATTAATCTATACATATAACACGAAATGCCTCAGTTCTCGAATTAACACTTTCCATGGAAGATTTATCAAAGCTTAAAATATATTTATTATATGCTGTAGTTTTTACAGCCCTAACCAATTTCTGGTAATTTTGTTCAAATTTTATCGAAATATTGATGTTTTTCATCTTGCAATCGAAACCTAACTAATGTTCTAATAATTAATGTTCCATCACATTACTAATAAAACCTGATAGAGCACTCTAATTAGATGTTAAAGCTAATTTTCTTTATGTAAAAACCAAAGATTGATGGATATCTGATTCTCGACCCCAACAAGAACAAAGAATATTCTTGGATATTTTTTATTATATGATCTTCGGATATTAAAGTAACTATAGTGGTGTGAAAATTAAGACTCGCCTGAAAAATTGAATATTATATAAGCACCTTTATGTTGTTAAACTATTATTAAACAGTTCAACAAACAATAAAGACGTACGTAATTGGTTTGATTCGAAAGGAGTTCAAATAATTTTCTTTTTACATTAGAACCTAAAAATAAATTCCAGAAACTTTGATTATAACTGAATAAATTTTAGATTTTATAAATATTATATCAAATTTTTTAATTAAATCCTCTGTCCTATAATAATAATAATAAGAATAATGATTATGATGATGATGATGATGATGATGATGTTGATGATGACGACGTCGACGACGACGACGACGATGATGTTGATGATGATGATTGTGATTAATAACAATAATAATAATAACAATAAGAAGAAGATGAATAACAATAAAAAATATTGATAATGATAAAATTCATGATAATAATAATTGAATTTAAAATCTGAATAATTAAAATAACATGAAAATAAAATTTTGATATTCGAAGATAAATATTATATAAATATTTATATATAAAGATAAAGATAAATAAAGATAAATTCGGAAATAAATGCAATTTTTATTAATAATGTTAAATTATGGATAAGAATTAAAATAAAATAAAACATAAAAATATAAATTTACTTATGTTTATTAATGAGAAAGGCTCATTTTACCATTAAATAAATACTCCACTGTAAAAATTCAAAGAGCAACATAAGTCAAATTTCATTCAATAAATCGTTTGTATCATACTTTTAAATTAAATTTTTCTTTGCTTATTAATTTTATGTCATATATATGATAATTGTGATGAAAAATATTATTGCAACTAGAACGGACACCGAAAGTACTGGACATTACTCAAGAAGTGAAGTAGATATAGGAAAAACTGGGGGACGGATAAGACCGAAGATCAGTCTTCCCCAACTTTTTAAGCGGAAGAAGGATAAGGTGACCGGTACTGATACCGATACGGTACGAACAATCGTGACAATGGATGATGAGAAGGTAAGAAAAATATTATCTTGATACATGCTTTATTCAAAATAACTGTAATGTTATTTTATACAAACAAAAATAGATCAGTTTAAATAATATTGAATTTATTGAATATGCTTCATTAATAAATACTTTTGCTTTATATATAATAAACATCTAGCACTTATTAAAATCTGAATTTCATATCTAATAAATTTGCTATAAATAGACTATAGATTATTTTTCTAAAAGAATTAATGTTTTTTTTATTTAGTAGTGTTGATTCAATTAATTGAACAATTATTAATCTATCTGAATGCATTGTAATATATCAGTAATATATATTTTTGATAATTCTACAGGAATTATTTGGAATTATATGAAACTATTGTAAATTTTAAAAATGAATTTAAATTAATTTTATATTTTTAAAGTCGTACTTGAATAAGCTTAATAAAATATCTTCAAAATTATTTTAAGAAAAGTTCAATTTTACTGAGGTGTGACACATACAAATATTTAAAACGTCTATTTAATCAAAATATATTTTATTATTCCATTTAACATTTGTATTATTGCATTAGTAAGTAAGAAAATTTTTGTTAAATTAACGAAAAGCATTTGTATGAAATTAACTGAAGCCTTTATGAAGTAATTCTTAGAAAATACATGTGCGTAATTATGCCTATACTTTATCCGTAATAATTAGGCATGATAATTAGGCTCTTGTACGAGCCCGAAGGGAACTAATAGTAGAATAAAGAAGATGTAATATACCATCGTCGAAAGATAGCGACAAAACTTATTGTTTTTTCAGCAGATTTCATCAGGCGAGAAGACCGCCGGAGCGTTGACAACTGGACACGAGGGAGGCATCGTCTACGCGGAGCTCGACCTCGCCCACCAAAATCAAAAGCAGCAGGGTGCGCCGCGTAGATTAACCGAGGACAAGACCGAGTACGCTGAGATTCTCTACACGAAGCCCGAAAACCAGGAACATCCGTTGTCCGAGAAGTAATTTTACTTCGATTAATAAAATGCCGTCCGAATTTACGTATCCCTTATTAAAAGCAAAACCAGATAACCGCGAATCAATGCGATTAGGACAATGTGATCAGTTTTCTTTCCTCGCTTATGACTCCGACTCTTCTTTTCATTGTTGTTCTCTCACTTTCTTCACATTTTATCAAGTGGAGAAATCTGTTTAATTTAAATCTTAAATCTGACTCCCGTTGATATAATGCTATATAAATATTCTGTTTCTGCATTATACTATCGAAATATTACTTTGGTCTATTTGATTTAATCATGTGCTGATTTTTTACTAATTTCAATTAAACGGTATACATTATAATAAGGTACAAATTCTGTAACATAAGTTTTTATACTTGCAAACAAAATAACGTCGGTTATACTGCTTTATTTTATAAACTAGTATTTACGTGTAATGCTCTGCAAAATGAAATGCGCGAATTTAAAGGAAATCAAGATATCAATTAAATATAGTGTCATAGAATATAAATAATGCACGATAGAAACTAATATATTTAACGCGGCAAAACAAGCTCATTTTATGCATACAAATATAATGATGTTTAAGATTTCATTTAAAGCAAAATATAAGCATGGTCGATGACTGTCATTATTACATTGTGTTAGCTGGGCAAACAAATTATTTTTATTAACTCACTGTCATATATATACTTACTAAATTCAAATAATTAATTTAGTAGGTGTGAACAAAATACTTATGTTCTTTTCAAATTTTAATATATATTTAATAAATTTAATAATATATATTACTAATAGTTAATAGATAAATTAAAGACATACAAAGTAATAACACCAAAACAATGAGATAAAATATTTTTATCATTATCATTATTGTTACGTCAATTTATAAAAAAATCATTTATATTCGTTTATTTTCGTTTAAAATAACTTTTCAAATCATAATAAATTATATACTACTATTCTCCTGAAATCTTCTAAATAATTTATAATCTATGTAATGATAAAAACTCGTAAATTAGTGTATAGATAGTCAATAGAGTACAATTACTTTTTGTAACCTAATACATCTAAATTTATATGTGTAGTGAGTCAAGTGTCTAATTTTTGCTGAGCGGACGAATGATAGTAATGATAAGGTAATTTATGTAATTATTCACTTAATAAATGAGTTAATCTTGATATATCTTTGTAGAAACAATTGTAAGTCGAAAGTTATATACGCATAGGCAAGTTAGATACGGCTTGTGTACTTAACATTCTTAATAACTATATTGGTCACCTAGCCTGCGCAGAATCAAGCACTTAAAATTTTCATTAATATATTTATTTTCTATATTTAGCTCTTAGCAGTTATAAATTAATAATATAAATGAATAAAATATCCTTTTTCGACAAAAAATGTATTATATTGTCAACTGAAGTAACTGCAGTTACTTTTATTTATATAAATTCATAGTACTTAAGATATAACGCCTGACTGTAGAAATACTTAGCATGACAGTATTGCTAAATAAAGATCGAATTAAGTTCTTACGTATCTAATTACATTGTATATGTGTACAAGTTCAATTATAGATTTATAAAAAGTAGTGGTTGTGCATATAAATGAACCTTTCCAGTACAATTGATGTAATGTAATCAAATTATTTTATTAATCGAAACTTGAATATGAATTTCATTTAATTATTATAAGAGACGTTCGGAAAAAACGTTTATAAGTAACTATAATGTAGTTAATATAGCTATTTAAAGAAACAATATTTTTTGTGTTAAATCGAATATTTATCCCATTATAAAAGTGACGTTTTTAATGTAACGAAATAATGTAGCATTAAGGTTTAAGATATTATATAATTAAATATTACTAATAATATGTATTCGATTTGGTAAGTTCTTTAAAATAATTGATATTAGTTTATACCTTTTACTATAATATCTACTCATATAAATCAATAATGTCTATGAAATAGTTACTGAAAGATACAATTAATATCTGTACAATTTTAACATTTTAAATATAATCTCTTATTTTTAAATGCATCTACTTGAAAATGAAATTTACATTTGATCCATCAAACTAATCTCTTTATTTACATGACAACAAAGTTTTTTATTTTGTATATTTTGGCTAATTTACAAATATCCATTTAAAATCTCAGATTCTTTTTCTTCTTACTTATTATAATTGATTCAGTTTAAAAATGATTCATTATTACTTTAATTTTTTGTTAATTTATTTTTATTAAATAATAATAATTTTATTTCCTTTTATTGAGATCCGTTCTAAACTCTGTATTAGATATATTCATTATCTATAAATTTATAGAATTAGTTGTGCATGTGTATGTGTGCATGTGTATTTCTTTTAGTAAAGTAAAAATAACTTATTAAAAGAAATATACAAAATCATCTAGTTTGATTAGGTTTCTGTTTTACATAAATATGAAAGAATTTTTTAGTCATTTAAATAATCGTTTTGGTTTTCAGATATTAATAGTATCATATCTATGGTAACAATTTTCAATAAGGAATGACTTTAATTATAATATTAATATAATATACGCTGATAAGATATTTTTAGTTTGTAACATAATTGAATATATAATACATGAGGTATATTTTAAGAGTTTAGTTATGTACATTTAAATATGCTTAAATTTTTATTTATCAATTTTATAATTTAGCCTGTCTTTATCTTGTTAAATAAATAAAATATAAAAAATTATCTGTGCTTTTTCTATTCGTAAAATGATTAAAGAAGATTTATTTGTATAATATTTAAAAGACTATTAAAGTTATTTATTAATAATTTATATTTAAATATATAAATATTTGATATGATTATATATACCAATATAGTGTAATTTAGAATTAATTTTATAGATAATATAAAAGTTGAGTCATGATTATCAAATATAAGTTATCAGTCAATTCAATTTTTTATCTTTCTGTAAATTTTAATATATATTAAAAATCCTTTTTTTTATAAGAAAATTTTAAATATTACCATCAACTTTTAATGTAAGTTTATTATTTTTATTATTCTATTTTCGCTTATTTCAAACAAGAACAATCTTTTTTTTTTAAATTAGAAGTATAATGAATCTTTTCATTATATACATCCTTCTGCATTTCACTGTTATATTGGTTGAAATATTTTCGTGTATCATTATAAATAAAACTGCTTCTGGTTTCGAATTTCTTTTTTTTGTCACATAAATTTTTATCTTTATTGCCTTGCATATTATTGTTTACTAAATTTAAAATTTTTGCATGACTTATATTTTTATTTAGTAAACTAGAAATTGATAAATTAGAAACAACCTCTGCTCGTGAAATAGAAACAATTTCGGATGATATTCGAGAAGCTTTGGAATTTTTGGGAAATTCCATTTTTTTATTGTTCTTTTTTTTTCTTTTAAATAAACAACAATCTTGTTTACATTCATTAATTATCTCCCTAGATAAATTTTTAAACTTCATATAATTAGCTAAACCTAACTTCAGACTATTCTTATAACACATATATAAATCTTCATCCGAAACTGCAATGCTTCCACTAACAAGATGTGGAAAGACAATTGTATGACTTGGAGGATGAACGGGTGTTTCTAGTAGTTTTTTTAAGCTAAATTGAAATTTTTTGTCTCCTGATTGGCACATTTCTTGCGTAAAAGTGAGTTTTACAGGTGTAAATTTAAATTCTAATTTTTGGTTTGTATTAAGCATTTTTATTATAACATATATCAGTGTGTTCATATTCTTACACCTAATAGCGTATATAGCCCCATAATTATTGTTAAAAAGTGGTGGCCCAGACCATGATGAGTCTACCGCATAAAAAGCGTCAGACGTCTTAATAATCGCTAATATTTTTTTGTCGCATTGAAATAAAATATTTGAAGATCTACTTGATGCCATTTTAAAAGCATCAATAAGATTTCGTTCATTGTTGCTAGCATAAAGAACACCGCACACATCCAGATTAAACTCTATGTTCCATTGGAAGTATGATATTTTAATAAAGTCTAACAAATTAAATTTATTCAAGCATCTTGGATGGATTTTATTACTTTTTTTGTAGTAATAATTGCCGAAAATGACAGCTGCATTTAAAATAGTGGAATGCCACTCAGAGGGTTGGCAGAGATTACACATAGCAAAAACAGATATAGCAATAGCTATTTGATTCTTACCAGCTTGATTACAATATTTTACATCAAATGCACCAATTGATCCCCATAAAGAATAAATTACATTTGGTACTTCAATAATATAGCTTTTCCACGTTAATTTTTTTGACTTTTCGATGAGATTCTCATTATTTAAGCTCTTAATTTTTCGGCTGTTCTTGCTTATAGTATGTCTGTAACTCCAATGATAATCTAGATAAACCCAGATAGGGTCCTCTTGGAATTTATCGTATGGTGATGAATTTACCGATTCTACGTGTATCCGATGTATGAAAAACCCAGTAGTATTTTTATATTGGTTTAAGCTCATATGTGAAACCATACAACTGATTGATGGAAAAATGCAGAGACAACTTGAACCACATAAACCTACTCTTCTGCCTTGGGTATCGCATTGATATGGATCTAAGTAATAGTAACACTTTTTAGCATTGCAATACCAGAATCCGTAACAACAATTAGAAAACTGAATAATGCCACTGGTATATTTCTTGAAAAACTGCTTTAATTCCTTTCGAATGGTATCAAAGAAGATAATGGTCGATCCCTTTTCGTCTTGTAAATGAACAAGATTAAATGCACAATCACGTATATCGAAAATACGATCCATAAGATTAACATCCTTTAAAATATGCTCAGAGTGGAATTTTGGTTTTTCAAATAACTTGTAAGAACTCTCTGCAAGTTCTAATACTTTGTCGATCATTCCAGGCAAAGGATTTTGGATTATATCTCTTTTTAATATCAAGGAAAAAAGCGCAACGAAGTAACAACGCTTAATATACGGTTCAATCACTAAATCTCTTTCACTTAGCGCTACTGTTCCGAGTATAAAAAGAGGTGTTTGTGGCTTATCAACAACTCGAAAAATATCATCCAAGCAGTAGTATTCAGTCTGCTTCCTGTGAATCTCTGCTTCCGAAACCGAAGTTGTTATCAATTCGTGAAGACCTTCAAGATCGCTACAATTTGGACCAAACATTTTTGCATAGGATATCGTTACAATTCTTATTGAAAATTCTATCTCGACTGGTAGATTTATTTCCTAAAAATTATATTAAAATTGAAATTACGATAATTTTTACGTGAATATATAATTTTATTTACTAATATTTTTAAATATAAGTTTAAAGCTAAAAAATAGTTTAATAAAAATAATTGTTTCTAACACAGAGAAAATAATATAAATTTCTTTTTATTCCGAAAATTCTGATCTTTTTGTAGCTTATGAAGTTTTAAACAAATAATTTCAAAAATAAAAATTTTGTGTATTATTTTTGTCAAAAAATTGAATTTAAATAAATAATAACTAATAGTTCTCATAATATAATACGTAGATATTATAATAATCAAAATAGAATAAATATTCTAAATAAATCCTTTAATCCATGAATTTATTAGAAATAATTTTTTAAAACTATTTTTTGTTTTATACTATTTTTAGATACTATTCATTAAAATAGTAGAGTTAGATTCATAATAATTTATAATATAAATGTGTACCTTCACTATGAGTTTTAAATAATCTTCCTTGTTTTCAGAAATAATTATTTTAATGCTTTTGTTTTTTTTCACCAGCCACCAAGCATAAAATCTGCTTTCTATTCTCATAAGACCAATATGTACTTTTGCACATACGAGAATAGCGCCCGTATAAATTTGTGAATCAAAAATTCTTTTTATGGACATAGCTAAATTCCAACCTGTGCTGCTATACAATGTGCCTGTATGTAATGGAGCAAATGCCACACGGAAATTATAATTCGCTATATTAAACTCTGTAATTAAATTATCTGTGATACGTGAAACAGTAGAGTCTTCGGATGCTAATAAACTGTCTAAAGTGTAGTCTTTGCTTGTTTCGTACAAAGCTTGAATTGTCTGTGTTGTCCAAGTTTGCGGCTCGTAAATTTGTGACCATGCAATTACACATAAGTCTAAAGATTGCCTAAATATGGAGTATTTATAGAATTTCTTATCATAAAATAATAGTCTCATTTTTTCAACTTCATTGTTTGCAATGGGAACCTCTAAAATAGATGCATTATAATTTTTGAATGCCAAGAATTTTGGAATTTTTGTATCCAAGGGTGTAACTTCCAGTGACTTTTCAATTGTTACATCAGTAATCCAATCGATTATTTCATTTAAAGATACTTCTGATTCTAACTTATTAATTTGGGTTTCAGTTTTTTTCGTCTCTTCTATTGTTGAACAATTCTCTTCTATTTCTGGTGCTTTACAAGTCTTAAAGCGTTTCTTTTTTATCTTACGTTTAGCCTTTTTCTCCATGTGAGTTATTAAAATAATATAGAGTCTGTAAGGTTTACTCGACGAAATTCCAGTATTTTCAATAATTCTACAAACAAAGGATTCAAAATTGCAGATTTCCATTAGACACGCGGCGCCGTCATTACTAACACGACCATTTTTGTCGCACGAATAAGCATCGAATAGATAATATACGCCATTCATAATCCAAAAGGCGAAGGATATATTTTCGAAAACAAGAATACCGGATTGATGCTTACAAAAAAATGATTGTAAACAACACTTAATGTTATCAAACTCATAATTTTCAGGATCAAAATATTGTATTTGCTTTACAATGATATTGCACTTTACTCCAAGTATATAAAAATTTCGAAACCATCGTATTATTTTATATCTAAAATTTCCAACTCCCATAGTTATTTCATTAGCAATTAGAATAAATCTATCAAGAACGTCACAGTTAAATTTATTTACATCCAGGTTGATCTTGGTGAGAATACAAATTATGGCAGAGAAGTAACAAGATTTGTAATGACTCTTATTAATTTCAGTACGATCTTCAAGATGTACATTCGCATTTATTATTCCAATGTTTTCATCATCCGTTACTTTAAAACCACACGGTATTATTTCCAAATATTTTTCTCTTTTAATTTCCATATCCTTATTATCAACTACTTCATCACTTTGACAATCGCAATGCCATTCGCTCTTAAACAAAAATTATTATATTATCATAAAATTCAGAACAAATGATTACAAACTATTTTAATATATATGTTAAAGTATTAAGGTTCATTGGGACTCTATTAAATAATACATCTTTTGAAATCGCTATATAAAAGGAATTTTGTTTTTATTTTATTTTTAGTATTAATAATTATAATAGTATATATTTATATTAGAATTCAGAACATATAATAAAAGTCAAAAATAAAAGTACAAAAAAGTAAATATAAAAGTTTAGAAACAGTAAAAAATATAAATCAGTATTATTATGTTATTGAGCTTTTTGAAAAATGATAATCATTATAATTATTTTATAAGTATTAACTATATTATTAAATTAAAAATTACGTAAAAAGTAAGTTCATTAAAAATTGCATCATTTTACAACTATGCATTGAACATAGGTTGAGTATTCTTTTATTTTGGGTATTAAACTAAAAAAAATACTGAATATGTATCAGTGCTTATCTATTTTATATGTATAAATATATATAAATAACAATCCTTTATATTTTTTAACAAGAAGATATTTAAAAATTGGGATATTAAGTTTAAATTACGATAATATTGAAAAGTATAACCAATCAGAAAGAACAACATAATAGAAATATTATTTTTTAAATTATCAAATCTTTACTATTTATATACGTACACAAATTCACAGTTTTACAAAATATATAGAGATTAGAAATATGTATCATGAAGAAATTTAAATTTATTACAATGTTATTATATTATTATATAAATGAATGTTTAATAGCACATCATTTAAAGAATAAATTAAAGTAAAAATGCACAAAATTTTCTTAATAATTTTAGCTTATGCAAATCCAATTTTTAACTTCTAATAATAACAGTAAAATCTTCTTCCATAATACATGATTGTCCTTTCACATAAAAGAAAAAATTCTATATTTTTTATTCTATTTTAAAATTCTCTAAATTAATTATATTTATTGATATATATTTTTCATTTTCAAACTGTATAGGAATTATGAATATTATGAATTAATTTAAACATAATTAAATATTAATTTATTTTTCAAATATATTACTTATCTCGCTTTAAAGATATTATTATTCATATACCGTTATTTCAATAATAAACTTACCACATTTTCTTTGAAATCAGGCAACATAACTTCAAGTAAAAGATTTTCTGTGCTACAAACAAGTTTCTTTAATACAGTATCTTCTTCTTCCATTGTATTTAACGAACATTTTTTATTATAATTTTCTGGACAATCGGGTAACTTTTTAGGATCAGGTGTCTTAATGCAGGATCCACATGGAATAATTAATGGACAAATTTTTGGTTCTTGTACCAGTTCAATTTCTTTTTCTTTACTTTTACATTCTTCTTCAATTTTTTTCTCTTCATTACATTCATCGTGTATAAATTGTTCGTTAATTGCTCTAATTGGCATTAATCCATTTGGTAAACTTCTTAAAATAAAATATTGTTTAGAAGGAAGTGTTATAACCTTTGATTTTTCATTTTTCTCTAAAAGGCTAATAATTGCTTCCTGTTCTGTTGATTGTAATATATTTTTTTCTTTTATCGACAGTTTGGAATCAACAGAAAATCTAGATAGCAAAGAATGTATTGATTTTGAAGCTAACTTGACATCCAACAGATTACAGAAATTTTTCTTAGGTGGCATAACAAAAGGAGGAGGATGATTATATTTCAGTTTCTCATATAATAATTCAAGATTTTCTTCATGCATTTTGCATTCATTTACCTGCTCTATTTTTACAATACCAGTAATAAGAGCAAAATTTAATCTTACTGGTGCATTGGGTTGTTGAGGTTCATTAATATGTTCGAAAAGATTCGTTACTACATTCTTTGCATCTGCAGGTTCCTTTGATTTAGGTTTTGTTTTTATAGTTGTTTCTATAGTTTCAGTCGCATTTTCAGATCGATTATTCTTAATTGTAGAATTATTAATTCTATCGGATTTTTCAATATTTTTATTTTCTTGCTTAATTTTGGCTAAATCATCGTCAGTTATTGGTAAAAATTTTGTTTTATAATTTTCAAATACTTCAAATTTTGGAAGGATAGCAGTATCATTCTTACTCTCATTAGATGAAAACAATGTAATTTGAATGAAGTGAAATATAAAATGATAATCATTAAATTCAAAAAAACCGTAACACAAATCTATTAGTTCACTTACACAATCTACAACAAAAAGAGCAGCAGGAGTGCTTGTATTTTGCCAACCTTTTTTATCTGATCCGTAAGGGTTAAAAATAAAATACTTATCGTTATTTTTCCAAACACTATAAATTAATTTTTTATTTTCTAAAATCAATTCATTAAATTGTTCAAAATATCGCCCAAAAGCTTCTTCCAAATTAATTAGTGGATTGGCTTCACCTTCGATAATATTCATTTTTGATGCGATGTTTATACGCGTATCGTTAATTTTAATTGTTTTTTGTAACATTGATAGATCTAAATGATCTAATATTTTTGGTTTAAACTTTTTGGTATTTTCTGTATCTAATTTTTTATTTTCCGGTTTTTCTTTTTCCAATGCTTCAATTATTGAATTTGCTAATTTTTCATATACCCCATTACCACTAGATACTATTTTGTCTATCTGAATACTAGTCCAATTTGTTACATTAGTCTGCTTTACTTGAGTTAATGCCGCTATAGCTATTATTAAACCTTGCCGTCCACGACATTGTATTTTAAACTGTTCATCCAGGCAATTATTTGTTCCTTGAAGAATCAATCTGTGCGGTTTCACAATCTCGTAATATGTAGAATCTGAACATAATGCAATTTCATCTGCAGTATTTAATTCGTCGAATGTTACAACGAACTGATCTACTCCGTCCATCAATTCAGGATATTGTATTTTTTCGCTTATTGGTTTTTCTATTTCAAACCTTGGAGTTACGGGCATATTAGCAAGATTTCCGCATTCATTATTTTCTGTTAAAGACGGCGACGGAGGTCGTGAAGGTCTACGATAAGTATTCTTTTCACGAAATACAATCTTCTCATCTGAACCATCAATGGCAATTCCAGTTTTCACATATAACACATGAAATCCATGAATTATAAAAGGATTTTTATCTATATATTCTGTATTTTCTATTATTACTTCACTGAGTTGATTGATGGAGGAGTTCATTGTAATGCAGGCTGCTGCTTTTTTATATTGATCTGCATCATCAGGATTGTTTAAGCTAACGCGAAAGCCTGTGCTATCACAGGCGAATGGGTCAAAAAAATAAAATTTGTCATTGCCTTTCCATATAGCATAAAAGGTTTTCTGTATTTCAAGAATGCCTAGTGAATAAGTGGTAAAAAATTTACGAATACAGTCTTCTATACTTTCCTTCGACTTATTATTTTCTCCAGGAAATACATTTTCTTCAACTTTAATTTTGGCGGTATAAACACCAAAAACAATATCAGTTAATAAGTCATTAATTGACATCTCAAAAGTATCATCCAATGTCTTACCAAGTACTCGCACTATATCTGTCAAATATATATTCGAATAATTTAAAATGAGATCAATAATGGCGGTGGTCCACTTGCTAGCATTTAAAAGTTTTGAATAAATAAGCGCCGAAACTGCAACTATCAGATGTCCTCGACCACAAAATTCACCGGGAAATATAGGATGATGAAGGTGATAAGTACCTTGAGCCACGGCACGAAATGTTTCTTGAATACAGTAGCCACTTGGTCGACGTTGAGGTAAAGTAAGAAATTTTTCGTAATTTTCAGGTAATTCAGAAATTTTTTTTGCGTTCACAACCGTAGTTCCATAAATTGTAAAAGATTCATTTTTTATATTACTTTTTTGAAGAATAATGAAAAGTACACCAGATAAATTTTGCACTAAGATTAATTTTGCTGTTCCATTTGACTCACGATCAGAAATATCACAGTTATCTAATCTCGGCTGACCATCAAAAATATGAAAATGTTTTTCATTCTTCCAAATAGCGATATTTAAAATTGGAGAAGTTAAAACACCAGCATCGTATTTTTTAAAAAATAAATGTAGTGCTTTAGCAACGTGAAGCTCCTTAGGTGAATCTGTTCTAAACGTTCCAGCATAAATGGGACCATCAATTTTCAAAAAAATTCGATGAGTGTTTTGAATATTTATGTGTCGCTTAAAATCTTGTAATGTTAATGTTCGCCTATCTGCAATTACTATATTTTCATATGAATCGCTGTAATATGTATCACCATCTTCAAGCACTTGATCTATTACAAATTCATTCCAGCATTGTGGCTTCACCAAAAAAGAAGTTGCTATGGCTGCTACTGCGATTGCCGACCCCTTTTAGAAGTTTAGTAAGATATAAATTAATCATGTATTAATATTAATAATAAATTTATATCAATGCAACTTTATAAAGTTTATATTAATAAAATTCTTAAAAGAATTGTGTAATTTAAAATTAAATACTATTTATGAATAATACTTACCTGATAACCACGTGTTAATGGTGGAAATTTACGCATATACATATGTGTTAAACCAGAACGAAATCCATATTTCAAACATGATGGAAGATTTGTTTCAATTTTAGTTAACGAATGTGTACTTTCTGGTAGATCGAGTACGTAGATTAATTTAAAAAATTCATCTTCCAAATCTTCATTATACTCATCATTATAATAATTAATATCCTTTTTATTCTTGTTGAATTTAGACAAATCATAAAATTTCATGTCACAATCTGATATAATTCTGTCACATTTACAAAGCTTATCCAACTTGATTCGATTTACATCGAACATTTCATTTACTACCAATGAATGCTTTTTTTCTTTATTTTTATCATTTTTATTATTTTGCATTTTTTAATAATTGGTTATATTCTTATAAAATATTAATTTAATTCTTTGTAAATAAATAAATTTGTTAAATTTAAAATTTTATTTTCAAAAATATCTGTGTTACTTAAATGTATATAAATTTATTCAATATAGTCATTAACATTTTGATTTTTTATTTTTTAATCAAAATTTGTACTAGAATTTAGATTAACTTTAAATTGATTAAAGGTTAGGTTACCGAAAAAAAATATTGACAGTATAATGAAATTAAAAGATTCAGAAATATAATATATAAAAAACTTCGTTACAGTGCAACATGTAACTAACTTCAGTTATTTTAAAATCAAAATTACATATAAACTTTTAGAAATCAATCCTTTTAATTATAAATTAATATATTGAAAATTAATTTTATTTGACAAAATTATATCAATACGTATATTCAATATTTAGGAAGGAACAAAAGTGAATTCTTTTAAATATTGAAAACATAATGAATAATTCATTTTGAGGTTAGCACCATTACAAATATTTAAAACGAATTATAATTAAAATTTGTCAATAATTTACACATAATTTATTTTCACATTTAGATTAAAGAATTGAAAAGTACTTAGAATCGTATTGTTAACGCATGTTGCAAATTATTGGCATAATTCGTATATATTAAATTTTTTATTTAAATAGTAATGCGTACTAAAATCGATTAGTTGAATAGCTAAAGTACATTGTGAATATCCTGTAAACAAAATTTTTAAAGAATTTCAAAGAAATTATATTTTCTATAAAATAAAATGAATAGAAAAATGGTTAAATATAATGTTTATACGTACACAAAGATATAAATACATTAAATTTCGTATTAAATATTCTGTCAATAGCGTCAACGCATATTTAAAATTATTAAATTGTAAATATTTATGTTATTATTTTCATATTTCCTTACACGTAAAAAAAGAAATTTTATTACAATACAATTGCACAACTATAATCTTAAATAGTAAAAATTTATTCTAGCAATAGCTAAACTTTGTATTCAAAAATTGACTGGGTCATATCATATAAAAAATATTTCTATAACGTAACTTATGCTGATAAAATGATACATAAATGATGATAATAATATGACTCATAAAATACAATCAAATTATATAAATAATTTTACGCTGATAATGCGTCGAACATCTAAATTTCATCATTACTATTTCCAACATTTATTACAATTTAATTAAAATTATTCAATTTTGATTTTACTAGTTTAATATATTTTATAATGTATTTTACAGATATTTTATAAAAATTCAACTATATTTATACAATAATTGTTATAAATTTTATGTTAAATAAACTAAAATGCGTAATATAGACTTATGAGATATATTTCCTTATAAATTTTAAATATATTTCCAAATTTCACAAATATAGATTTTGACAAAATTATTACTGATTTATTTTGAATTATTGATATTTATGTTTGGCAAACAAATTTTATCAATCGCAGTAGTGATAAATACTCATTTTTCCGATATTTAGTAATATGCTTTTGAATATATTTAACTTTGCTCTTTTACGCCGATAGAAAATTAACGGAAACTTTCTGTGAGTATAAATTTCCTATTTCAAGTGTTGAATATAATAAACACCACGTGTCAAAGTATGCGTATAGAACAGAAAAATAATAAATGCTGCATATACCGAGAAAAAATTGCGAAGAACCGAAAACAAATTAGAAAGCTAAAAGAGAAATGTAAAAAAAAAAAAGAAACAAACTACTGTGAAAATAGTTTTCAAAATGGTAAAGTTATTTTTATTTAAAGATGCACAAAATATTTTTTAAATTATTTGCAAAAAAAAATTTCAAATTTGGATCGCCAATCTTTTAAATTTTATAGTAAAGCATATATAAAATATGTTTAGTAGCTATGTAATTTATTAATTTTTTTATTAATTGTCTAAGGAACTAAAAAACGAAATTAATGGCTATAATTAAAAAATAAGACTTTTCTATGTTTCAACTTATTAATTTTGCATCATAATTATTTGTATTAATATATTTTTTAAATAATAATATTTTACTTTCATTGTCATTATTATGAGGCATATTAAAATCAGAATATATAATCAAAAATATTTCATACTTACAACAAAATTTCATTAGCATGAAAGAATTATTAATTAATCGGCAATTACCAATAATAACAATATACAATAATAAAATACAGAAATAACGAAGTAAGTATAGGAATATTGAAAGTAGAATTAATTATTATTACATTTTTCATTTGTATACACAATATTTTTAAAATATATATAATTTCATATGTCTACAAGTCAAATCCAAACTGTTTATTCATTCATTCGAAATAATTAAAATTTTTATTAGAAAACTTTGCATATATTCATTAGCGAAATATTTTTAAATTTTCAATTTTTATATTATAATTTTTCATATTATGTTACGGAATATAAAATTATTTTTATCAATGTTTATAAATATTGAATTATAATATAGAAAAATAGGTATATGAAAATTTTAAATTACCTATTATTTTATAATGAACATCAAAAGTATATGTATCGTTAGATTATGATATTATTTTAATTATTAAATTTTTATTCAACTTTGTATTAAATTCATATTGACTAATGAAGTTTTTTAAAAATTACTTTTCATGTATTTATTACGTTATATTTTCATCCCATGCACATATAAGCAATAGAGTCTAAATTAGAGACTTGCAATGGAACTGAAATTAAAAAGAAAAATTATGGCATTAAAAAACCTGAAAAAATACTATGCAATGTCAGTAAAATGAAACCAACTATTTTGGACAGGGAAAAATATTTTAACATCTATCATTTCTTATGCATGTTAGAAGAAGATGAACTTATAAAATTCGTAAAACATAAAACTTGTGAAGATATTTCTGAAAAACTGGTTAAAAAACGTCCTTATGTGGACAGTAAGTCAATATATAAAATGAAGCATTTTTTCACATTTCTATCTATTTATTCTATAAGCGATAATATATTATAGATGGATCAACTAGTAATACTACTAATAATATTCATATAATTTAGATTTAGAATAATAGTACCGATAATATTATATTTATCTGAATATATAATTAAATCAATTTACTTAAAATAACAATCTTTAGCTGTATCAAATAAATAATAATTTAGATGAAATAAAAATGCATTAAAATATATTTCAATAAAATAAAATTTAAATAAATAATTAAATATAAATAATATACTATATCATCTATACTTTAAAACTCTATTCGGATGTTAATAAATTAAGCTATCTTTTATCAATCATCGCTTACAGATACAAACCTATGATGTTAATATATTATAAATCATTATATTATTTCAATTAAAACTGGATTGTCATATTTATAAAGAATTATTTAGTTGATTAATGAATTTCAATCTATACTGCTGTATTATGTACAAAAAATACAATTTTTAATCTGTTTATAATGTTAGCAGTGATTTTTCTTGAATAAATGTATAAATTAAGTAGAAAATCGTATGTAAGTGTAAGAAAATAAAAACTGTCAATCACATTGGAACCTTGAAAGTTTAGAAAATATTTAACAAGATTTTTTAACTGAATTAAAAAAATTGAATAGATAAAATCTGAATTAATTATATGAAATTTATTATCATATATCAATTTTGATATATAAAATAACGATATAATAAATACCTGATATTATATAAATACTTCAAAAATTCATTATCAGAAACTGTACTTATAAATCGGAAATTAATAAAAATTTTGGACGATTCCAATTTCTAATACTTCCAATACCCCTAAAAAATATATAATTTATATTTATTATAGAACATTTTATTATTAAGTTTAAAATAATGGTTTTACATTTAAAAGTCAATTGTCATTTTATATAAGATATTTTTTTATCAACTTATTACAATTTTAAGAATAACAAATAAAAGAATTCTAACAATCTTCTTATAATATTAAAATTAAAAAATAATCATTCAATATATATTACAATTGTATTTATAATTTGCGTATTGCATAAAGAACAACACAAAAACTATAATTTTCTACCTATTATTACAATATACCCTATTATTCTAATACCTTTTATTTTTGTTTAATATCCTGACTATTATATTTCATTTAATTTCTCTTGTTATTAGAAATTAAACAGATGGAAAAGAAAAGAAATCAAAAACGTCTGAATGGTAATGAGATAGAAGAAAACACAAATATAAATGCTAATAATAACAAAATTTGTTCAGATATGAAGCAAAGACAAGGAATAGATGAACGAAAGAGTATGAAAACTAAATTTACAAAAATAAAAAATGAAAATGAAAGTAGTAGCATATGCTCTGCAAGCAGTAAAATAGATTTCAAAAGTAACTACTATTTTTGTTGTATTTCCAGTATTTAGAAATTATTTTTATTGAATAATATTTTCCGATTTTTACCAACATCTATAATTTCATCTTTTTCCAATAATTTTTAATATTTGTACTTCATTACTATATATTTTCAATTATATGATTTACATATACCAAATTAACAATATTCTTAATAGGACTTTGATTAAAAAAATAAATATAACTGATATTTCAAAAATTTCTTTTGAATTTTGAATAACAAAATTTTATAATTAATATAAGGCTAACTAATTTGCAAGCCAGGAATTATCAGTATATTATAATTCATTAGATAAATGAAAAACCCTTGTTAATAAAATTAACCGACACTGAAGGATTTAAGAATATTACATAATTAGTAAAATAAATTATTTGTAACAAAAATCTAAAAATTTGCTGAAACATTGTAAGTAAAATTTAAAAAAATAGGAAATAAAATGATATCTTGCTTTGAAGTTTAATATTGTCATTTTTTCAATTCTTAAAAATCAATTGTTAGATCAATTGTTTGTTTAAAAATATTTAATATATTTAGACAATAAATAAATAACTTGTCAAAATAATAAATATTTAAGGAACAATGCTTTATCATAAAT